TAAATTGATACACATGTGACAAATTTACCCTACGTTAGTTTCTGTTAAATTTGATTAATACCACAAAAAATCCCAAACTGAAACTTCAAATCGGTACACCTGTCAACTGCCACGTGCCATCCAACTCAGCAAATTGATGATAAAATTTAACAGAAACAAATGTGGGGTAAATTTGTCACAGGTTTACTAGTTTGCGATTTTTCATGATTAAAAAATTAATTTAAAGTAAATTTATCATAAATGTATCAATTTTGTATTTTTCGGGGTATTAATGTAAAGAAGTTAATTTAAGTCCACAATTATTGTCTTGAGGCGATGGACAATGGTCCTTGTTTATTTGTACTTTTCGCCAGTGATGACTTGGAGCAATGTGTTGCCAAGTTTTCAGCTTCCTAAGAAATTGATTGGTGTTTTGTGAAGGCCTTAACTAAGGTCAGGTTTTACTAAGCTTCATAGTCCAATGCCCATGTGACGAGAGGACCATGCATGAGCCTTGCGAGTTGGGTTTTCCTTCCCAGTAAAACATTAATGCACAAAATGATATATGGACTCCTATTTATTGTTGATACAACGAGCAATGACTTTTGCAGCTTTTCATATTTCTTTAAAAATCAATTCTATAAATGAACTGCATGTCCTAGGATTAGTCTACTACCAATATCATCAAATAATGTTAGAAACCATCATCCACGAATTATATTATTGTTTAACTCGAAATGGATTTTGACCCAAGTAATGAACTAGCTTTCACCAAAGGACATATCTTTGAATTTTATGAAAGGGTTCAGTGGCAATCTTAAATAGGAGTTGCAACTAGCGTAACGATGAAGATGAACAACGAATTTAAAGGTAAAAGGTGATTGTAAATGCTGGAAATTAACATGACATTAAAACTGATGAAAGTACATAGGGAAAAAATAAGTAATCATGATGATCCTTTGTAATAATTGCACGGCGCCGTTTTATACTCCACTAATCATAACTGCTTATTAAGACTTAACTTTTCTATGTAACCGCATTCTCGAGATTTTAGACCTCCTATCCACACATTGATCCTATCCACAAACTGTTACAACTTTTAAAGTGCCATTGGGTTAAACGTTGGTCGGTGCCCTTGTCTTCAGTCGACATCTACACTATCTCCTTTCTTCTCTTCCCTTAGTCCAAAACTTAGCCAAATTTGGTAGTTGATAACCTTTGACCCATAATCGTTGTATATTGACAGCTGTATCTCTTAGTCATCTATAATTACTGTTCATGGTCATCGATGAGCGCTTCTATTATTGTTAAACTTACCAAAAACCATATCAATTTTCACAAACTCTACACCCACTTAACTTGACGTTATGCCGTTTACTTAGATTTGATCATTTTTCAGTGTAAACAATTATACATTTGGCTAAACAAAATCGTGTTCTATAATTAAGCAACTATAATGTGATTAAAATACAATCTTTATTCTAACAACTATGGTACAACATGTATCTATGTAGGCTAAACTCTCGTCATGGAAGGTTGTAGAACTGTCATGCATTGTATTCCGTGATGCTACTTGACTTCTATCCCATAAGTATGGCATCGTCAACAATTATGTATTCAGCCATATGTACTTATAACATAAGCATAACCGTGTAATATAACCCTTTAAAAATCTATTATTTTCGTTCTATAGAAATTTTGTAATAATGGATAGTTTTTCTCCTATTGATTTGCTATCAGTTGTTTCTTTTACTTTTAAATATTTATTTATTTGTAAAGCATGTACCATAATTTTGTTTTTATGATGATAGATACTTTTTTTTAATTCTATAATATAATTTATTTGTCAAATATCGATAATTATGCCATAAAAGATATTACTACGTCAAGCATCTTATTTATCAAAGATCTGATTAATATTTATATCACCGACTTGTTAAATATGGGCCATCGCGTTATGTATTTTCTCTATCGAATGTTTATGATTTACCTATAAAATACAACAAAATATTTTGTCATAATGAGTAACCACATAATTATTTAATTATAAAATTCAAAATTTATTACACACTTAGTTATATCTTTCGAAATATCTACAGTCACGTAGTGAACCCTATAATATATATGTATATATATGTATATATACACCCTATATTACATTTTTTAATGACATGATACATGCATTGGGGATAATTACCTAATCAATCTTAAACTTATTGTATAAATGCCAATTCAGTCACAACCTTTTTTAATTTTGCCAATTTAGTTTAAAACCTTGGCGTGAAATTCCAAGGTAGTCATTTCGGTTAATTTTAACCAGAAATCATTAGTGTGGTGGGATAGTCATTGTTGGCCATCATTCGTGGCACATTGTTATGTCAGCGATTTCTAAGAAAAGTTAGCCGGAATGATTACATTGGCATTTCGGGCAAAGATATATGAATAGATTGGCAAAATTGAAAAGTTTATTACTGAATTGGCATACAATCAATAAATTTAGGATTGATTTGACAATTTCCCTCCATGCATTGTTAAGCTCTTTCAAGAACTATCTATAGAGATATGTTAAAATGCTCTTCAAAACTGATATGCTGAAGTGCAAAATACAATTGGTATACAAATAAACAACATATGCTTAAGAATAAAAGATGTGCTAAAGTGCAAAATAGAATACATAAACAATATAAGCTAAAGAATTAGGTTTTTGTTAAAGTGCCTTTCACAATCAAACTGCTTTTAGATTATATTTTCTTTTAGATAAAAGGATCAAAATAAAAAGAAAAAGATAAAAAAATTCTCATTTGCGTTTATATTAGGATTACTTTTAGGGATTATTGTGATGGATGTTTTCGTGTTGAATATCGTTAGAGATTCTTTTTAGTAGGTAATTCTCTTTAGCCAACATTATACTTTGGCTTTGATTTTTAGCTCACAAGAGATTCATGTCCCGAGGCATAAATAACAAGATAGTGTATATTCTTTGCCCAACTCATATCGGGTTACTTTACCGCATTTTATATTGTGTTGTTCTTTTATTATGTTTGAGTGACATGAGGTTTTAATTTTAGCTTATGGGGGTTCCTGTCTTGGGGCTTAATAACAATGCCATGTAATATTTTTTGCTCAACTTGTATCAGATTTACTTTCCATACTTTACTCTTACTTGTCTTTCATTATCTTTTTTATGTATTGTTTTGAATTCCTTATATGGTTTTTACGTTTCGATTTCTTTAGCTTCTCTCGATGATTACGACCCACTTTAGGAACAACTCAAATTGAATAAGCTTGCAGGAACACTCAATGTAAAGAACCTTACGATTCTATAATTTGACAAGACCACATGAATCAATTTATAGGCAAACAAATCGGGTTCAAGGATCGAAAGGGCATACATTAGATGATTAGTGTTATCGAGTTCCTAAACTTAGAGTCTCTATTTTGCAAAAAGTAGAACATTCTCTCATGTTCTACTTAGCTCCTAGCCAATCCCAATAGGTTAGCGACCACTCTCTTAGATTATGGAATTCTATCTCTAAATCAATCGAATTTAAATTTCCTAATGCCCTGAATGACAAGAGTTTGGGAGAACATGCGCAGAGCGAAATCAAGTAAACCTCAAGTAGAGGTAATGCTAGTTCCCGCTTGACAATCCACTAAGCCCGCTCCCCCTTGGGAAGACCCCACTCGGGAGCGTTGCTACAAATCTCAAGAGAGTTTTACCATTTGCATAGATGTTTTCCTAGTTAAATTAATCTATTTAAAATGACTCAACTTGTCTACCATCTAAATACAACGAGGATGCTCAATAGCAGATAACATAATATACATTCGGGTCAATCACAAATTTTGAACATGGTGAGTCTTATGGGAGATCAAAACAATCAAATCATGAGATTCGCTTTGATCTTACAATACTTCAAGAAAGAGATTTTTTCAGTCGGAGGATATTATGTAGTGCATTTTAGTTCGAAAGAATTGCTAATCCGTCCATCTTCCTTATCACTAAAAACACATCCGACATAATCACGTAGGGTGTTCCTAAAAAGTCCCTACATGGACTCACTTGTTTTTGCTAGTGTGCATGCTCTGAAGAGGTAACTATCGGGCTCGGAGAATTTGCTCATCAACAATGTTCAGAGCAACATATATAGAACCATCCATATCAATCGTAGCTTTCATCTTATCGAAGTGTTCTGATACACGTCATTGAGTAGCATGAGAAGTCCCAATTTACTACGAGTTATACGAATATATTTAAAATCATCTCGACGTTAGTTTGACCAAAGGTGTGGTACTATCATTGGCACCAATAAGAATTTCTATTGCTGAATGCTTTCTTGGCTAATCAACCTGGTATTGCTATCAGTCATTGTAGGTGTTATATACATTTTAAATTCAAATACAAATTCACGCAAGCGAGCACATATAGATGAAAATCTTATTATCAGAAAGGGTAAAGATGCCTTTTCATGTATTTTCATAAGTACTCTAGAAGTTCCAAGGGTCCACCTGTGCTTTTCTGCCTTGGTCTATGGTTCACATTAAAAATTGAGTTGATGGCAGACTGTACAAAGTTACATGTCCCGTGTTCTCTTGGTCAAAACAGTACAATGTGGTAAGAGTTAAAACTCCATGTCACGTGAGTGTGGCCAGTCGGCCCAGTCCTTGTCCATTCATTCTCTTTATTAATTACCTTTTATTATATCGGTGCTGACTCACTTTGTAAAAGTACATATTCCGAAGGCGATGGTTTAAGTCCAATCAATTGTTTACTACTTTAACAGCTGATAATCATCATCTCTTTTCCTTCTCCATTGATTGCATTTCGACGCTCCCATTCCTTCATCCTTTCTGTGCACTCCAATCTCTTCGCCTTGTTCGCCTCTCGCTCTGTTTCGCTCTTTCTTCTCCTCAGCACAACCATTCTTCCTCCTCTTCCTCTTCTTCTTCTTCTTCAGTGTCTCCTCCTCCTTTTCATCGTTCTCTGTCTCTCTTTTTCTCGCTCTTTCTTTCCCGGAAAAAAAAAATCAAAGAAAAATGTCCGCCGATTCTGTCATTGCTATTGCATGGGATGTCTTGAAGAGCTATGTAGTTGTTCCCATCAAGCGTCGATTCAATTATGTGATCTCCTCCAAGAGCTTCGCCGACTGTCTTCGGGAGGAAGTCCGGAATCTGGAGAACGAGGCTCAGAGGGTCCGCATTTTGGCAGAAGTGGCCAGAAACAATCTTCGGAATTTCTATGATGACTTCACGGAGTGGCAGCAAAATGCTAACGAGGCCTTGGAAGAGGCGGGAGACCTGTTGGGCGACTTCGAAAAGGCGACCAAGACTTGCTGCTACGGGACTCTTCCCGACCCCAAATGTCGCTATCAGTTCAGCAGGAAGGCCGAGGGCAGGATTGGGGTCATTAAGCAACTCGCTCAAAAATGCCGCGGATTCAAGGAATTGAACGACATCTCCTTCAGCAATCCTGCTCCGGGAGATGTCACTGCTCCGAATCCAGCCAGGAGAGAAGGCAAAGGTGTCGTCCAGTCGACCACCGCAACGGCCTCCGCTTCTTCTGCCTCGACGTCAAATGAGCTTAGTGACGATGGCCTCTTCAAATCCAGAGCTGCGATCATAAGGGACATCATGGTCGCTCTTGCCGATCACAGCAATAGCGTGGTAGGGATTCACGGGATGGGCGGGCTCGGCAAGTCCACCCTTTTGGTCGATGCGGAGAGGAGAATAAGAGAAGAAAAGCAGTTCGATCTGATCGCTAAGGCTGATGTGTCGCAAAATCCTGACATCAAGATGATTCAAGGAGTGATTGCGCATGCGTTGGGCCTGGACATGAAGGGTTATGATTATGAGAGCGTGCGAGCGGATCGTCTGCGCGAGAGGTTGGGAAATGAGAAAAAGAAGGTCCTCATAATACTGGACAACCTGTGGGAGGGGCTCGACTTGAAATCAGTGGGCATTCCTTGCGGACATGACAACAAAGTCATGGGATGCAAGTTGTTGTTAACGTCGAGAGACCGAAATGTTTTGCAAAGGGAAATGGGCTGCGACAGGGACTTCTTCCTCAATAGGCTGGAGGAGAAAGAGGCAAAAATATTGTTCGAGAGGATAATGGGAGAAAAAGTTCATAATGACGAGTTCAGACCCTTGGTGGATGAAGCACTCCGCAAATGTGCAGGTTTGCCTTTGCTAATTGTCACAATGGCGAAACATTTCAAAGACGCTACTCCACCTGAATGGAGGGATGCCTTAAATCAAATTGGGCGGTCTACAAACAAAGGAATAAGTGCAGTGATAAATACGTCGTTGCAATTAAGTTATGATCATTTAGCAAGCGAGGAAGCGAAAAGTTTGTTACAACTCTGTGTTGCTTATGGCGTCTCTAATCCCTCTGTTGAAAACTTGGTGAGGTACAGCTATGGTTTGGGGATATTTCCAAAAGAGAGCAGCATGAAAGAAGCCAGAGATGGGTTGAGAACACTTATCTGCACTCTTCAAGCCTCCTCCCTTCTGTTAGACAATGGAGGCGCATATGGTTTCAAGATACATGACTTGGTTCGTGACTTTGTTGCCCAGTTTATTTTAAGAGATCGCCCTCTTCTCTTGTTGAAAGATAAAGATATGTTGGCAACACAATTGCAGAAGGAGAGGCTCAAAAGTTGTATGGCGATATGCTTTCCCTATATTGACATGAAGGAGCTTCCCGAAGAATTAGATTGCCCTGAATTGCGCATCTTTCTGCTTTTCACCAACAATGAATCTCTTGAGGTTCCAGATTCTTATTTCAACTCTATGAAGAAACTTGCGGTCTTAAATCTTACTAGAGTACGTCTCACTCGTTCGCCAACTCCATTTCAGTTCTTGGAGAACTTACATACACTGTGTTTTCATAGTTGTTCGCTAGAGGATGTGGCCATTCTCGGTGAGCTAAAAGGGTTACAAATTCTTAGCTTTGTGAACTCCAAAATTCAGCGATTGCCAAAAGAAATTGGGCAACTGGTAGAGCTGAGGTTGTTAGACTTGAACTCTTGTCCAGAACTCCAGATAATTGAACCAGGTGTGCTTGGAAGCTTGATCAAATTGGAGGAGTTGTACATGGAGAATAGCTTTCATCAATGGAATGCCGTGGAGCAAACTCCCCGAACTAATGCCAGTTTGATTGAGTTGAATCACATGAAGAATCTCTGTACTTTGCATGTTTCCATTCCCGACCTGAGTGTGCTCCCAGGGGATCTAAATATCGAGAAATTAACTGAGTACAAAATCCAAATAGGTCATCTTATTGACTTCCATCTTTGGCGCGGGTTAAGCAACTACAAAGGATCAAGGACATTGGAGCTCAAGTTGAATCCAACAAACGATATTCTTCATAAAGGATGCATACGAACTACTTTACACATAATTGACGATTTGTGGTTGGATGGGTTGAACGGAATCGAGCAAAGCATTTGCCAGTTATCCCCAGAAGGTTTTCCACAATTAAAGCGTTTACATGTTCAGGAAAGTCCTTCCATCCGTTACATCCTCAAATGGTCTTCCCTTCCCACTTTTAAGACCTTGGAGTTTTTATTTCTACGGAATCTCATCAACTTGGAGAAGTTATGCCACAACGATATCTCCTCCAAGTCCTTCAGTGCATTAAAAGTCCTACGAGTTGATAGCTGTGACAAGATGGAACATCTATTTCCCCTTTCATTACTAAGAGAACTTCCACAGCTAAAAGAGATTGAAGTTGTTAGTTGCAAGGTAATGAAGGGGATTGTAAAAGATGATGATTGTGGTCAAGTTGAGTTGCGTAATTTGCACGTATTGAAATTGCGTGACTTGCCAAGTATCAAGAACTTTGTTGTTGTCGGGACAGCTCCTTCGAGTAGTACATCGGACGACCAAGTTGGCACTCAACTTGCATTCTTCAATATGCAACAGGTAACTTTCTATCAATAGAAATTATAATTATCTTTCCTTCTTTTGCTAATTAGATGTGACATGGATTATAATGCTTAATCATTTCTTTATTTTCGGTTCATTTTCTTCCTAAGTACCATATCCGATGATGCCTTCTCTGTGATCATGTGAAGCAATCTTCCGTTTCTCTTAATTGTGTAGAATTCCAACTAATTGTATGAAATCCATGCAAATTTAGATTGTGATAGGTTCTGAGTTATTTTCAACTTAGATGCTGCAAGTATATTTTATATTAATAGGGTTAGATAAAGCAACATTAAACGGAATTTTGGCATTAAAGTAATTCTGTAATAAAGTAATTTCTAATCTTGTGAAATGGATTCCATTGAATTTAGTCATCGAACTTTGTTATTATCCATCAAGTATATACTATAGGTGACTCTCGTAAAAACCAATATGAAGAATGGGAAGGAGGACTGGGTCTATAGATAAAAGCAACTATATCAACCTAATTGATGCGCGTCTTTCATGCGCCATGTTTAAATAAGCACTTAATCGTTGTATAGGCCCCATAATTATAAGAGTGCAGAATTTTGTGCATGTTCATGCACGCGTACAATGCATATAGGTATATTTGTGCACACTTTTGGCATCACAAGCGCCCCCAATTTATGTTTAATATCTCGTGGTTGTAGGCATTAGTGAGCAACTTTTAGGAAAAATTACACGAAATCCCCCATGGAAGTTTTAGAGCGGTACACATTTACTCTTGGACTTTCAACCTTCACAAAAAATCCCTTGAGCCATCAACCCTTCGTCAATTTTTCCGTTTGCGAGTGCCCATTATGTGATTTTTCAAGGGTAAAATTGTAATTTTTTCCATTTTTTAGATGACTCTTTTGCTGGGTTCAAAAGGAAATTACTCTTTCGCCCCCAACTTGAGGCACTTGTTGAGAAACTAATAAAGAAAAATTTACAGTTTCCAATCAATTAATCTTCTTCATGTTATGCAAAATTTGTGCCTTGAAAACTGAATTATTCAGTTACGCGGTGCCCTAGGAGTTCTTGTTAACATAATAACTACTACTACGACTATCATCATCATAATCATTATTTAATTATTATTTCTTGTCATCATACTATTTTTTAGATCATTACATCTTTTCAATTCTAGCAAAAGAATAGTATGATGACAAAAAAATAGCAATCCTTCTTTTATTTTCTATTTTTTCGTTGAGTTTAATTAGTTTCCTTTAATAGAGCTGTTTATCTTGTTTCGCATTTTTTATTGAAAATGCCCCACTGCCCCTGGCAAAGTGGGTGTTGCTTGCCTTAGTAACTTGCGGTTTGATTTATCCATGTTATGTAAATTATTTTCTTCTTAATTGAATAAAAGCCCAATTTGACTTTTTTTTCGTGATTTCCCATTTTCTAGTTACTTAAGCCCTCATTTAATTATTTAGTTTTTTCTTAACTCTTCTTTTTTTAAATTTTCTTTTCCATTTAGATAAATTATGGTACTTGGTGTTGAAGATTACGATAGAGCATAGCTATGTGGTTTTATTATCCATGGTCCTTTTAAATAGCTAATTATGGAGGCCATATGCACAATGAAATACAATATTTTGACATTTCTATGATAGTTTTAAATGCTTGGGATATATTTGAAAGCCTACTAAAATTTTAGCTCTTCATGAAGTCAACCATATTATTATAAATTTTTGTCTTAATTTTTTTAAGATTGTTGCTTTTCTTTTACCTTATTTTTCTGTATATATTTTGAACTTTAATTAATTTAAGCGCATTCGGAGGCCAAAGCATGATTTGACTAATACAAATACAGAAGAATTGCAACTTTACTAGACAAGAATACTTTTTTATGGTGGCGAGGCCCAAGGCTCATGCAATACGTTAGTTTCCCTGTCAATAAAGAGTAGTAGAAATATAAGCTGTGGATCCCACAAGGTTGTGTGCCTGAGTACGACTTATCGTCTTCCCATGCTTTGAGCTTCCATGTGGAAAGATCTCTCTTTCAAATATAATGGAACTAGATCGGGGAAATTTTGCAAAGAGCCTTCACGGCTTTTTTTTTTTTTCGTCTTATTCTTGTCGAGGATAACAATAATCCAGTGAACGAAACCCAAAAAAGTTATACTTGTTATATGGATGGGAGCGAATGATGATGGCCAGGTAGATGGGAGATTCTGAGCAACTTTGCAAATGAAGGATTTTCTAGAGTTATAGCAATTAACTTTTTGAGAAGACTAGTTACTCTTTACAAAAAGAAAACAAAAAGAAAAACACAAAACAAAGCTTTCCATTGTAGGCTGCGGATTTAGACTCACCCTCTTCCCTTGGCACTTGTCTATATTTTTTTTTTTGGTAAGGGCACTTGTCTATATTTACATCTTGAAAGTTCATGAATTCGAGATTTAATTGAAAGATCAATTTTGTGAGTTCCGCAGATTACCTTTCCAAGATTGGAGACATTAGAAATCAATGGCTTGGACAATCTTGGGTTTATGTTTTTCCCATCCATGATTAAATCTCTCGTGCAACTACAAAAACTAACCGTAGCAAATTGCAAGAAGATGGAGGTGATCATCATGGAGGAAGAGGGGTTGGGGATGGAAACATCGGAAAGTCTAGCATTCCCGATGTTAACCAATTTACGCTTGGATGGGTTGAAAAGTCTGACGTGCTTCTCTTGCGGAAAGTGTAAGATTGATTTTTTTGTTTTCGTCACTGAAGATCTTCATGTAGATGGATTCACCCATGCAATACAAATGATGACATTCTTTTCATCCAATGACCAATTGATGATAGGTTCACAAGAAGCTCAGAGTCAAGACCACGTCCAATCACGCTCCACTGCACTCTTCAATCGAGAGGTACGTGAAAAGTCGAAATATTAAATATATCGGAGACAAAGCATAGCCAAAATGAAAACTAACTAAATTATGTACAAAGTATACTTTGGTTAAGAAATTTTAAAAGAAAACGTGCGGCGTGCAAGCATAAGTGTTCAGAGTCGCCCGACTTGTATGAGTTGCAATTTCTTACTTTTAATTTGCCGACATGTATGGTACTTGCGCAAAGCATAAGCCAAAATTGGCCAGTTAAGGAAAGCGCACGGTTATCTTGTCTAGCAAAATTTGCCGTAGTTATTTCGTTGACTAGACGGGATTGCCTTTTATATGCCGTGACTATTGTCACTAAAGTTCATGATGGGGCCCAAGACGCATTAGTGAGCAACTTTATGTTTAAGATCTCGTGGTTGTAGGCATTAGTGAGCAACTTTTAGGAAAAATTACACGAAATCCCCCATGGAAGTTTTAGAGCGGTACACATTTACTCTTGGACTTTCAACCTTCACAAAAAATCCCGTGAGCCATCAGCCCTTCGTCAATTTTTCCGTTTGCGAGTGCCCATTATGTGATTTTTCAAGGGTAAAATTGTAATTTTTTCCATTTTTTAGATGACTCTTTTGCTGGGTTCAAAAGGAAATTACTCTTTCGCTCCCAACTTGAGGCACTTGTTGAGAAACTAATTAAGAAAAATGTACAGTTTCCGATCAATTAATCGTCTTCATGTTATGCAAAATTTGTGCCTTGAAAACTGAATTATTCAGTTACGCGGTGCCCTAGGAGTACTGGTTAACATAATAACTACTACTACGACCATCATCATCATCATCATCATCATTATTTAATTATTATTTCTTGTCATCATACTATTTTTTAGATCATTACATCTTTTCAATTCTAGCAAAAGAATAGTATGATGACAAAAAAATAGCAATCCTTTTTTTATTTTCTATTTTTTCGTTGAGTTTAATTAGTTTCCTTTAATAGAGCTGTTTATCTTGTTTCGCATTTTTTATTGAAAATGCCCCACTGCCCCTGGCAAAGTGGGTGTTGCTTGCCTTAGTAACTTGTGGTTTGATTTATCCATGTCATATAAATTATTTTCTTCTTAATTGAATAAAAGTCCAATTTGATTTTTTTTTGTGATTTTCCGTTTTCTAGTTACTTAAGCCCTCATTTAATTATTTAGTTTTTTCTTAACTCTTCTTTTTTTAAATTTTCTTTTCCGTTTAGATAAATTATGGTACTTGGTGTTGAAGATTACGATAGAGCATAGCTATGTGGTTTTATCATCCATGGTCCTTTTAAATAGCTAATTGTGGAGGCCCATATGCAAAATGAAATACAATATTTTGACATTTCTATGATAGTTTTAAATGCTTGGGATATATTTGAAAGCCTACTAAAATTTTAGCTCTTCATGAAGTCAACCATATTATTATAAATTTTTGTCTTAATTTTTTTAAGATTGTTGCTTTTCTTTTACCTTATTTTTCTGTATATATTTTGGACTTTAATTAATTAAGCGTATTCGGAGGCCAAAGCATGATTTGACTAATACAAATACAGAAGAATTGCAACTTTACCGGTTAAAAATCACATGTAAAGCACATACCAATGGTAAAATGCACAAAGGGTTGACATCCACAATAAAATCAAAGTTTACCATTTCTAAAGGAGAAAATCTTCGGATTGAATAAAATTGGTTCACTAATTAGATTAAGCTTTGCAATTCAAAGTTATTTGCCCAAGAAAAGACCGGAGAACGATTCCTTATCTTTGTTTTAGTGATTACTTTAGATAACTTTCTGTTATTCTATAAAAAATACTGTAGGAAATTAGAAACGGCATTAGTATGGAGATTTTTTAACTCATTTTTTTTTCCTTTTGGGCAACTTAATAATCCCCCTCTCCCCTTCGCACTCATCTATATTTACATCTTGAAAGTTTGTGGATTCGAGATTTAACCAAATCACCAATTCCGTGAGCGAATTCCGCAGGTTGCCTTTCCGAGATTGGAGGCATTAGAAATCACTCGATTGGATAATCTCGGGTTTATGTTTTCCCCATCCACGGTTAAATCTTTCGCACAACTAAAAAAACTAAGTGTACAGTACTGCAAGAAGATGGAGGCGATCATTACAGAGGAAGAAGAGTTGGGAATGGAAACATCAGAAACTTTGTTATTCCCGATGTTAACCGATTTAAGCTTAGAATGGTTGGAGAGTCTGACGTGCTTCTCTCGCAAAAAGTGTAAGATTGATTTTTTGTTTTCATAAGTGGAAATTTTTATGTAGATAGAAATCGTCCCTACAATACAAATGGTGACATTCTTTTCATCCAATGACAAACTGATGATAGGTTCACGAGAAGCTCGGAGTCAGGATCGCATCCAATCATGCTCCACTGTACTCTTCAATCGAGAGGTACGTGAAATGTCAAATTATTAAATACAACGGAGACAAAGCATAGCTAAAATAAAAACGAACCAAATTAATTATACAGTATGATTTGGTTAAAATTTTTTAGAAGAAAATGAGTGGCGTGCAAGCATAAGTGTTTAGAGTTGCTGACGTGTATGAGTCGTAATTTCTTACTTTTAATTTCTTCGGAAATAGTTTCCATAAAGATGGTTGAAAATCTCTCATGGTACATGCACAAAGCATCAATAGAGATTGGGCACTTAAGGATAGCGCACGACTATTTTGTCCAACAAAAATTGCCACGGCTATTTCGTTGACCAGACAAGATTGCCCTTCATATGTCGGGATTGTCACTTAAGTTCATGGTGGGGCCCAAGACGGATGCAATATTTAGTTTCCCCTTTATTCTAGGGATCGTGGACTATATAAGCTGTGGGTCCCACGACGTAGTTTGTTTGAGTACGTCTGTTCCTCCTCTTAGTCTTTGGTGCTTTTAACTTTCGCTGTAGTCCTCATTAGACAGAGGCCTTGCATATTATTTGAACTTTTGGGGTCAAAAGTTAAGGTTGAAAAGTATTGTTGGGTTTGCTTTATTATATACAGAGAGAGATATAAGTAATGTATCACTCGCTAGCCCATTTCTGAAGGAGAAAATCTTCAGATTGAATAAAATTGGTTCACTAATCAAATTAACCTCTACAATTCAAAGTTATTTGCCCAAGAAAAGACTGGAGAAAGATTCCTTATCCTTTTTTTTAGTGATTACTTTAGATAACTTTCTGTAATTCTATGAAATACTCTTGGAAACTAGAAACGGTATTTAGTATGGAGATTTTTTTTACTTCCTTTTTTTTTTCCTTTTGTGCAACTTAATAATCCCCCTCTCCCCTTCACACTCATCTATATTTACATCTTGGAAGTTCATGAATTCGAGATTTAACCGAATCACCAATTCCGTGAGCGAATTTCGCAGGTTGCCTTACCGAGATTGGAGACATTAGAAATCGCTGGCTTGGATAACTTCGGGTTTATGTTTTCCCCATCCATGGTTGAATCTCTTGCACAACTAAAAAAAATAAGAGTAGGGTATTGCAAGAGGATGGAGGCAATCATTACGGAGGAAGAAGGGTTGGGAATGGAAACATCGGAAACTTTGTTATTCCCTATGTTAACTGATTTATCCTTAAGACATTTGGAAAGTTTGACGTGCTTCTCTCGCGTAAAGTGTGAGATTATTTTTTGTTTTCATCACTTAAGTTCTTATTGTAGACAGATTCATCCCTGCAATACAAATGGTGACATTTTTTTCATCCAATGAAAAATCGATGACAGGTTACCGAGAAGCTCAGAGTGAGAACTGCATCAAATCACGCTCTACTGCACTCTTCAATCAAGAGGTACGCGATTAACATTACGTCAAAATATTAAACATTGCCAAAATAAAAACTAACTAAGTCACTTACGAAGTATACTTTGGATAAAATATCTTAAAAGAAAGTAAGTGTTCAGAGTTGCCTACATGCATGAGTTGCAATTTTTTATTTTTAATTTCTCTAGAAATAGTTTCCATAGAAGATGGTTGAACATCTCTTATGGTACCTGCATGAAGCATGAACGGGCAATACAATTGCAGAACAGGATTTCTAAAAGCTTTCCGATTTTCACAAGAAACGTAAAACTCTCAGCAACCTCACATGTACGGCTCAAGACATTGCACGCATGAAGATTGAAAGAAAATGAAAAAAAACAATTGAGAGGAAAGTGAGCAGTAAGGTTCAAGAGGTTAGAGATGAAGGGCCTTTAAGACGCGCACTTGACTTAATTTGCACTTACAAGATCTCACTTTTTTTTCTTGATTGAAGGGAGCTTTACTCTCTCTTAATTGCACCAGCAAAAGGAATCTGAGCCCTCTCCATCGCCAAGCTGAGCAACATCTCTTGGGTCCAGGGCTTCAGAAATCACCCTTTTTAGTTTTTACACGAATTGCTTGACTTTTTAATCAGATATCGAGGACTATCTTTGACAATTTGGCTTGAGTAAATGCATGATTTATGGTTTTTAAATTAAACAATTGGATCATCCGGCACTCTCACAAAAAAATTAACGAATCTTAAAAAGAAAATTTCATCGATTAAATATATTTAATTCTTTCAAAGTGTGAAATGATGTAAATAAGAATTGTTCATTTGACCCAGGCAATTCCTTTTTTAAGTGCTTTCTCTTAGCCTAACTTTTTAATTGCTCTAGAGTGACACAATATTGATTTGAGGCCCTCGGTAGTAGATAAAATCACACCTCCTTCTGTAGTGGACCATTTGATGGTTGATTGGGTCGCCTCTCTTTAATCTCAATCTCTCCATCATTTTCTTTCTCTTAGCTGCACTTTTCTTAATCAATTTACTAGCTATTTGATTCTTGGGCTGGCAAAAAAAGCACAAAGTGTGATTTGATTATTTTATGAAATTAACTAAATTGAAGAGAGGGAGAGGTTTTATTTACGTTTGGGATTAATGAGAGACTAATGCGATTATAGGATTGTTATTTGAGCATATCCAAATTACCATTTTGCCCATTGTCAACAGAATCAAGTCAGAATTCCTACTTTTTATTTTGTCTCTAGTAATTCCAATAGCCTTCTCGTCCTAGAGTCATCGACATAAGTATGGAGATTTTTTTTACCAACTTTCCTATTTTATTATTATTTTTTCCTTTAATGCAACTTAAGACAAAAACACCAATTCCGTGAATTCATAATTTACATCTTGGCACTCATCAATATTTGCATCTTGAAAGTTCATGAATTTGTAATTTAACAGAATCACCAATTCTATGAGCAAATACCGCAGGTTGCTTTTCCTAACTTGGAGACGTTATCTATTGATGGCATGGATAACATCGAGATGATATGGGATAATCAAGTTATTATGGATTCTTTCCATAATCTAAAATCGTTTGATGTGAAGGCGTGCAATAAGCTAAAGTGTATATGGGATAAGGAACTCCACTATCAAGTTAAACTCCATTGCCTGCGTTTCGTCAACATTTCCAGATGCGAGAGCCTCACCTCTCTGTTTCCAGCCTCAGTAGCCAGAGGTCTAATGCATCTTGAGGAGTTGAAGATCGATGAATGTGGCATTGCGGAACTCATTGAGAAGGAAGAAGGACTAGTTCCTAGGTTTGTATTCCCAAATTTAACCTCCCTCGAGCTTAAGCATCTGACAAAGTTGAAGTGCCTCTACACCGGAACACATACTTCCCATTGGCCGGCATTGAAGACCTTGAAAGTGGATGGCTGTAACGAGGTGGAGATACTTGCCCAAACTAAGAATGAGATGCCATGTCATAAACAACCTCTCTTCTTGATAGAAAAGGTACGACCCAAGATTATTTGTTTTGCTTCAATGGAGAATATTTGAAGTGATCCTTAAGGCCACAACCAAGCATCTCATACAAGTAGCTCTATGTATGAAGATGTAAACTGTACTGACTCACCTTGAATCCATAAAAATATCTCAACATTAAAACATCACATGTTCTTCAAGTATTGACTGGGCACTCTTGGCAATGACTGATGTATCAAATGCATCCTCGTTGATCCCCCTTTTGAAAAAGGTTTAGGCTAATTCCGATGGTTTAGCTCTCTCCTAAGGACCACAAAGATTGAAAGCACGTGGCATGTGGTGTGATCTTACCATGGCAAAGTGTGTTGTCTAATTTGAACTCTATAAAGATGACTGATATTATTCTAAAAACGAAGAGATGGGACATTATTGTTGACATTAAGCACCGACATTTGTGCAATTGTGACTGTAATTGATGCAGAAGTTATTTTCACAAGGGATATATCTTTAGAAACGTGGATGTAAGGAGTTACTTAAGTTCAATATGGATACAAGTCAAATATATATGAATAGCGATTTTGTCTATTTGATGTGGGAACATTTCCTTCCATTGAAACACATGAGACTCAACATTTTAAAATGCAGTAATTGTGTGCGATAGGCAGGACTAAAATCATAATATATGTATACTCTTTTAACTAAGATGGCATTAAGTTCTGATTTGACTATTTTCTTAGGGCGCATTCCCTAATCTTCAGGAGTTAAAATTGGATTTATTGGAACGGATGGAGATATGGCATGGGCATTTTCATGATGAAGAATTCTTCTGCAAGCTTAGAGTTCTTAAGCTTCATCATCTCGCCAAGGAATCTCTAGTATCCACATATCGTTTTGTTGAGAGTTTAACCAACTTGGAAGAGCTAGTTGTATGCGAATCTTATCTAGAAAGGCCAAGCAGTAATGAAGGAGCCATAGAAGGCACAAGTCATGAGCTAAAACTAATATCACCCTTTTTGAGATATATTCGACATTTACAGACTTTAGATGTGTCGTATTGTGATGGGTTATCATATATGTTCACACCGACGTTAGCTGAAAATTTGGTGGTACTCACAAAATTGAGGATAAGTAATTGTAGAATATTGACAGAAGTCCTTCAGGATGAGGAAGGTGAGGAGGGGCATGTAGTGGCTTTCAATCAATTGAAGTATATGGAGCTTGATGGGTTGATAGAATTGAGATGTTTCAGTTCAAGTGGATACATTTTGATGTTTCCCCTCTTAGAAGATGTCATTGTGATTGGATGTCCCAAAATGAAGTTTTTCTCCGAGGGACCAATAGAGGCGCCAAAGCTAGAGAGAGTACAAGTAAGTTTGAAGGGATCGTATGGACCAACAGAGCACCAGCATTTTTGGAAGGGAAACCTCAACATCACCATCCAAAATATGTTTGAAGAAATGGTATGCATTGGTTACTAAATTGTGTTATTGGATGCTTTTGATTACCAACCAAGTAATTGCTTTTCTGCTAACTAGAATTTTCCGTTTAATGATGCATTTTCTAACAGGTTACAGTTGCTAGTGCTAAGTTTATGCGGTTGTTTGAGTTTCCCGAGCTGATTGGAAAGTGGCACAGCGAACTTAATCCCATCAAGTCATCTTGGCAATTAGAAACACTGGCGATGGATAAATGTCCATCATTTATTAGTGCTATTCCATCCAAATTGATGCTTGTTTTAGAGAAAATGACTAGCTTGCAAGTGCTCGAGTGTGAGTCTATGGAAGAAATATTCGATCTTGAAGGGCTTGAAGCTATGGAAAGCACTCGGGTGCTGCCTTGCTTAAAGAATCTGGACTTGGCCAACCTACCAAAGTTGAGGCAACTATGGAACAAAGATCTTCAAGGAAAGATGTGCTTTGATTCTCTAAGTAATTTGACCCTTTATAAATGCAGCAACTTGAGACTTGCTTTCACTCCATCGATGGCTCGGTGCCTTGCCAATCTTGAATGGATGAAAATAAAGGAGTGTGGTCAGATGGAAGGAGTGATTGTAGAGGAAGAAGGGCAGGGAAGCACGGTGGAGAAGATTACATTCCCGAAGCTCTGGTTGATGGAACTGGAATGCTTGCCCAATTTGACTACTTTCCTATCGGGGAAGAGTCATACGTTGGATTGTCACGAAATGAAATATTTGACCATTGCCCATTGCCCCAAGATGCGAAGTTTGGCTTGGCAGTCTTCGATGGATATTGACCATGGCACCCTTTCACTTTTCACTCCACAGGTTAGTCTTCTTTTTTCTTAATCCAAAGATTTTGTTTTTTTTTTAATTTAGAGAAATCATCTTGTCAAATGAATGGAATGCCAGTAATTGAGACTAGGAAATAGAATGGTGCTTTGCACGCATAACGCGAAACAATTTTAGTTTAAGTGCAGTACAACATCCACTATTTCCACTTATCTTACCAAAAAAAAAACCATCCACTATTGTTTTTTTTTTATTTTGGACAAAAACAAAATCCTCAAAACACGGCATCAATCAAGGATAAGAAATTGGTTTCCTCTTACACACCCAATTTTTGCCAACGGTTGGATCACTGGTGCACCTCGAAAGGTAATAAATATTATTCAAGCAAGTTATTAATATCCCACCGAATCTTGATTTGGAGCCGAATCGTTTCAATGCAGAACTAGTAAATTGACCCAATTTGCTTTTCCTAAGATCATAACATACGTTATTTATTGAAGTCATTATGTTGCTCGTGCCTGTTACGAATTTATTTTTTTTCACTACAAAAATTTCTGTACATAATAAAAACAAAACTTGTAAACAATCGAAGTTATTTTTTTTTTTATCTTGTTTGCCATCAAATTTTCATGACACTTCTCATTAGTAAACTTTACAAATTTAACGTTTCATAAGTAATACTTGCAATTAGTATTAGTGTTGAATAAGTAGCTGTGCTCATAGTTAACAGAGCAAACAATCTCTATCGAGAGAAGACACGTTGAATAGCGTCAGACTCGGGTTGCAAATTAATTATAAGTGAAGATGCTCAACTCTCATTTGTGCTCCCGTTCCGTGGCTTGTTGATCTCAGCCGTTGACCTATAAAAAAAATTAGTTCTGGAATTTATCACTCAATGCATCAATGATTGATGATGATCGAGGCACCATACGGCGAAGAAACGGGGGTAGTGGATCTCCATCCTTTCCATATATACATGGACATGGTTATATAATCATCTTCCGAGTCCATGCTATAACGAGCCAATAAACATCACAGTACAAGAGTAATTTTACCTCCGTTCTCATATAATACTCAGAAAATGTTATTGATTCCCTTTTGCTCATAATTTTTGGATTTTTCTAAATCTACTAGGGATGAAAATGAGAAGTTAATTTCTTTCAATTGACAAGAAAGATATGTAGAACTGGCTTATACCTATCGCTGGAGCATCGTAATCTTGCACCCACCAGCATGGCATTAGAGCCAACATTAGGGAGAGAGAAGAATGTATATATAGATATATACATATATATCCCGAACGGATTGAAGCGCGTGCGTCAAAGCTGCTTCGAACTGTGCTTCAGCTTCATTCATTCCTTGAAGCAAACAAATCTAAGAAATTTTTTCTTTGTCTAATGTTGCATTATCAAAAGATTAGTGCAAGCAACTTTGATAATGATCAGTGCAAAAAAATCTGACAAAACTCATGCTTCTAAATTCTATTTCTTAAAATCCGATGCTCAATGTACTATTGATCATAAATGGATTTATCATTTCATGCTTGTTGCAATGCAATATACATGGCCTTAAGTCACCTGTCAACTGAAATGAAATGAAAGCATCAATCTGCCCTCCCTTGTTTATGTCACTAAGAAGCTCTTGCATTCTCATGATTTGTGAGAGCGACGAAAGTTTTGGAAATTCCTTCATTGAGTTCATAACTCAATGTAATCACGTTCATTATGTCATTGTTTTCAATATGGCAGGTACAATTTCCTCAGCTTGGGTCGGTGGTTCTCTCCCACATGGACAACTTAAGCAAAATATGGACCGACAATCCTCAAGAAATTCTCACTTTTGAACATTTATGGGAAGTGGAGGCTCAAAATTGTAAGAGCCTTAAAAATTTGTTTCCGCATTGGGTGGCTACAAGTCTAACCCAACCTATGAAACTTCGAGTGGAATCTTGTGAGATCGAGGAAATAGTCGCTAGTGGAGATGACACTCCACACTCCAATATCGCTCAAGTTCTTTTCCCGAAACTAGCCTCTCTGGTGTTACATGATATGTCACAACTCAAGAGCTTCTGTCCTAACTTGCCCAATTTGAACTGGCCATTCTTAGAGGAGTTGCAAGTTACTCATTGTGACAAACTAGACATCTTGTCTGTTGCGGCATCCATGAACAAGTGGATTCAGAGAGATGATCAATGGGACCTTTCGACTCAAGAAGCACACTCTTCAATTGAGAGGGTATGATTAAAATTGCTCTTTCCAAGTTTCTACTTCGTTCTTTAGTGCACCCGCTAATCACATGTCCACTACATAATCACGTCACGTTATGATACTATAGACAAATGATATCCCTTGCCTATCAGTTTGTCGACAACATAAGATATTTCTAATATCTCAAGTATACTTTTCATTTGTGGACATTCATAAGATGTTCCATTAACTATAATTACAAAAAAAAAGTTACAAATTTTTGTTGACAACACAATATGTTCATAATCTAATCTAATCTAATCTAATCTAATCTAATCTAATGGTGCTCCTTAGGGAAGTCAATGAGGATTTGACACGAGATCCTCTTCATTGTTGACACACGTTGCACATTTGAACTTTTCTTCTCTATTTATTTTCTACAGACTCTAAAAAAATAAACGCAAACAGTTTTCTTTTTTAAAAAAATAACATCAGAACCTTAATTCACTATATTCTACTTTTTTCTTTAATTCTCTCATTATATTTCATCTCCACTGCAAAATCACACCACCTTATAATACCATAGAAATCCCGAACCCCTTAACTATAAGTTTGTGGATGATATAAGATATCTCTTATATCTTAAGCACATTTTTCAGTTTATGGACCCTATATGTTTTAGAAACATTATGAGTGCATCCCGTTACATAAAGTTCCAAAGATGATAAATTTTTGTTGACAAGATAAGATATTTCTAATAAAAGATAAATTTGGTGAGTTGGAGGGCTCTTGAATTTAGATTCACTCTACCAACATAACCATACCAGCCTCTACTTGAGATTTGTATGCAAGGATCTTTAGATTTGATGAAATGTAAAAGATGGCCACGTTCCATGTGAATCATCTGAATTACATTTACCTTTTATTAACACATGATTTATTGCCCAACCTTTGCTGAATTTACTTCCCTTGTTGTATTGGCAATTTGACAGGACTTTCCCAACTTAGAGAAACTTTTATTAGTCGATGAAGATGTTCAAAGAATCCAAGATGGAAAATTTCCCGATGATATCTTTGGCGAGCCTAAAGCACTAACATTGGCATGCTTTCATGGTGAAAAGGCCGTCTTTCCTCTCAGATTCCTTCTAGAGAGATTTCAGAATTTACAAAGCCTTGAGGTCTTTTGTAGCTCCTTTGAAGATATATTCCCCGACGAAGGGCTTGCTGACGTGGGAAAACATCCGGTGCTTGAAAATCTAAGAGAACTTAAGTTAAGCAAACTGCATAACCTAAAACGTGTATGGAGAGAAGACCACTTAATGGCGAAAATTCTTCGAGGTATCGAAACATTTGAGGTTTGGAATTGTCCCTATTTGACGACAATATTTCCAGCCGCAATATCCTTCAAGAATTTGACGACGTTAGTGGTGAAGGATTCCCCTGGATTGGTACATCTGGTAACAGCTTCAGCGATCACAAATTTGGTGCATCTCACTTGGATGACTATAATAGGATGTGAAAAAATGAAAGAAGTAGTGGCAAACGATGAAAATGGAGAAGGAAAAGTGATTTCTCTTGAGAAGTTAGGTGGTTTGACACTCCAAAATCTGCCAAGCCTAGAATGCTTCTCCTCCACCACAAGTTGCATCTTCATATTTCCATCCTTGTTGAAGATTGAAGTGGAAGAGTGCCCGCAAATGAAGATCTTTTCCAAAGGTAGGCTAAGCACACCAAATTTATATTCCGTGACACTATTTAGATACGAGTGGCTAGGGACCTGGGAGGATTGTGATCTCAATACAACCATACAAAAGTTATCGGCATGAACAAATATGCACATGAAATTGGTAAGATCCAATTAATGTCTTTTTTTTTCTCGCGTATTTTGCTTTTTTGGCTCACCTTTTGCTTCTCAAATTGCTCGGCCCCTAAAACTTTTCTTCTTTTTTTTTTTAAAAAAACTTGCCTAACCACTGATGAAGGGAAGAGCAGGGCAGGCGGTGCAAATGAAGAGAAAGAGGGATTTTTCTCTCGCGAGAAGTTGAACAGTGCGCACTCCAGGCCACCATTCCCTAAAGATCATCACGGTTTCTGGTCGCCGCCGCCGCCACCGTCGCCGTCGTCGGCACTGGAGAGAAGACGAAAGTACGACGCCAGAGATGGCACCGCCGAGCCTCCACAGTCCTCCCCACTTCATCAGAGAAGATCTTGCTCTCTCTCTCTCTCTCTCCCGCATCCGTATCCGACAAAATCGTGAGTTCACACTTCTTCACGCATCATTTCTCCCGATTTTCGTGTCTTATTGCGGGTGAGTTTCTCCAGATTTTCGTGAACCTTACTCGATCGTCGTCTTCTTCAGCTAGGGGCTCTGCCTTTTAAATTCGTTCCGCATTCGAGTTTTGTCCGTGTTTGAAAACGTGCATTGGCAGAGTACTCCTTGCGGCTTCATCTAGTAGTTCGAAACATATTCATGAGTACTAAGAAGTTGTGATTAGGGCTCCGTTTCGTGTAAAAATATCTGATAAGGTTGCTTTAGCGATAGATGTCTCTCAACAAACATCAAGGGTTAAATTTCTATTATTATTGAAAGAGGGAATAAATCATGGAACTTGAAAATTCAGAGAAAATCCATGCCTTGTCGAAATATGAGGTGTCACTTTTACGCCTTGTTCTCGATAAACTGCGGACTGCTCATCCTCATGAGGATTTGGAGGGGTGACTTGTGGTTCAACATGTCTTGTTTCTGTTTCCACAACTCTATTTCCCTTGTTCTTTTCAAATTCTAGAATAGTTTTTAAGAAGCCCTTGTTTTTAATCTTGGTTGATTACGTAATGATTGTGGGGATAATATTAACTTCCAATCTATGTTGAAATTTTCTCATAGCAAGTCAAATTAATGAAGTTTACATGAACCGCCACTAAAGTTGTCGTTTTTCAAGTACAGGGAGGACCAAACAGTTAGCAGATTAAGGCACCCTGAGCTGTCTTTTATGGTCCCACGCACCCAAGGCCTCTCACTGCTCCTAAATTGGCCAACAAATTTCAAATGGAGCATCCCTTTTTCAAGGTGGTGATGAGGCCTTCTTATGTTAAGTATGGCTTGGTAAGATCCCAAGCTTATTTACTCAGACTGGCATGTCTAAAAATCAAATTTATTAATGCTATTTATAACTTTAATTATACTCTAGAGTATTTCCAAGTTTACTTCATTGTGTAGTAAACCACATGACATGTTATTTTTCTTGAAGTATTCATGGGTATATGTTTAAAACCAGGTATATATCTTAACAATGTAGTAATTGAAGCAAGGAAAAGAATGAAAGGACACTTATTGGGACATAAGCTGGTGGCTGAGGTTCCAAAAGATAACAATCGTCTTCTTTTTTGTGGATAGATGTGTTGGCAAAGCAATTGCTGAGGCGTCTTAAGAATTAGAATCCAAGTCCTCTTTTATGGAGAAATTTGACAATGTTATCCAATGTCGTAGAAGAAGAATATATATGTAAATCGCACAAGGAGACTATGTTGATATGAACAAGCAAATTGCAAAGAATGTTGCTGCCTCCATAACTAAAGAGAAAGACCTAAAAAATAAGTGGTTGGCTTGTTATGAATCTAAAATTTCATCGAAGATCTAATGACTAATAATTTTGTTTTCAAATAAAAGATATTGTTGTATTTTGTTATATTGATCAGATTTGGAGGAAAAAAAGATGACTTTACTTTGTCAAATTGAACCAATAGTTTGACAAAACCTTATTAGAGTTGCAGTTGAAAGAATCGAACCGCTTAACTTTAAATTTTCAATTCCATCCATGTTCCAGTTGTTGATGTTTTTGCTTTTTCCCCTGTGATTGTGGTCTGTGTGGCTGAAATTCATATGTTTTAAATATATATATATATATATAAGACATGGAAGGCTTCTTCTGAATGTGTACCCTTTTGCACTCAAGGAGCATAGATTTTGACATTTGACTTTGGATTGATGACTTTCATTATATGGTTAGCTGTCTATTAAAACTCCTGAAACTAGCAACTACTGCCTTAAACTCACGCTGTGTCATTTGATTTCACCATATATTGGTTTTTCAACCATGTACATGGGCAATCTGCTTCTATTCAATTCATCACGCAACATATTCAAGAAATCAAGCAAATTGCTACCCTCAGGTATTCAGTTGTTTTGGTTTGGTTTAAGGGGAGGGGGGGGGGGGGGGGTGTTCTTTTCTGCTGGTTGGCCCACATTTGCAAGAGAAAGTCATCTGCATGTGGAAACTAATTGATAAGGATGATTGTGTGTTCAGAGTCTACATATTCACTAATGCTGGCTAGGACTTGATTTACAATGATCAAGATGAACTCTAGAAGTGTCACTTTGGCTGGTCCAAAAGGAATTCAGTATTCCAACTAATAACTCCTTTATATAGTCTTGATGAATCAAGGAGGTGTACTTCTATGCTGATTGGGTTTATGAGGTTGATAATAATCCAGATGCACTCATTAATGCCACATTCCAAATCTGAATGAACTGAAAAGGATGTGCTTCAAGATGTCCGTTTTGGTTTATGCATTCTTGTATTTTGTTCTTCATTTTGAATTTGAAATCAAGTTTCATAGGCTTATTAAGATTATGGGTTTTATTTTTCCTACAGGGAATACCGAAGAGGTTCACGAGAAAATATGGTGAGAATCTCTCGAAAGGATGCTTCTGAGAGAATGGTGCAATTATTGGCCTGTGGAATTGGAAAAAATGTGGTGAGATGGTTTGGCTATCAAAGGATTGGAATTAATTTGCAGAGCATTACTCTATCTGTGAGGGCCAATTTTTGGTCTTTAAATCTGAAGAGGACTCCATTTTCCATGTAATCATATTTGATAAAAGCACGTCTGAGATAGAATATCCACCAATCAATGCCGATGTGACGAACCGAGCCTCGGCGATTGTGGAATTGTCTTGCTGAAAGTGGAAGATGCTGGAGATTGCTGTGATGTTTTGGTCGAGCTTTAAGTTTTGAGGGATGAATTGCATTCAGCCAAGTGTCCTCAGCTTTGTATGGCAAGGGAATTGATCAGGTTTGCGAAGTTCATGGCTGTTCCTATGCACATTCATCAGCACATAGTTTGGGGAGGGACAGAAGTTCAAATTGCTCATCATTAGATTTTCCTGGTGTGAATCTTAATACATAAACTAATTCTCCCCTTGACTATGTTGTTCTTGTGTTTGATTTGAATTCCTTACAGGAACTCTCCACGTTGTCCGGCTAAGAGAAATTGTGTTAGAGCTAATTCATTCTCGTTGTGTTTCTCTGTCTCTAGTCCTCCCATGTGTGCATATGTATGTGTTGTGGGATCTCGTAAATGTCAAGCCAATGGAAACAAGTCTTACTGGTCATATTGGATTTGATTGTGCTGAGAATTGTATTGGTGTGCGTATAGGCCTCAGGAATCTAGACCATTAGTAATACTCAGATCTATTGATTTAGGGTTGCTATGTCAGTAGATTTGAGTTTCACATACAAGAATAGAATATGCCTGGAAAGCAAAAGCTTTCTTCATGTTCTTTTGCGATTGCTGCAGGTAAGCTGAAAGAGCCAGGCACACCAGAACTTGGACATGTGAGTCTGTTTAGATACGAGTGGGTAAGGGACTGGAAGGGGTGTGATCTCAATACAACGATACAAAAGTTATCGGCATGAACAAATATGCACATGAAATTGGTAAGAGATCCAATTAATGACTTTTTCTCGTGTATTTTTGCTTTTATCGCTCACCTCTTGCTTCTCAAATTGCTCGACCCCTAAAACTTTTCATCCTTTTGTTTTTAAACTTGCCTAACCACTGATGTAGGGCAGGGCAGGCGGTGCAAATGAAGAGAGAGAGAGAGAGAGAGAGAGAGAGAGAGAGAGTCCATCACTAAACTGTGTGGACTCCCACCATTCCCTGAAGATCATCACAGTTTCTGGTCGCCATCGTCATCGTCGTGGCTGCAAAGAAGACAAAACTGTGACACCGGAGATGGCACCGCCGAGACTGGACAGTCCTCTCCACTTCATAAGAGAAGATCATGCTCTCTCTCTCTCTCTCCCGCATCTGTATCCGATGAATCGTAAGTTCACGCTTCTTCACACATCATTTCTCCTAATTTTCGCGTCTTATTGCGCGTGAGTTTCTCCCGATTTTCGTGAACCTTCCTCGATCGTCGTCTTCTTCAACTAAGGCTATGCTTTTAGTAATTGAAGCGGGGAAAAGAATGAAAGGACAGTTATTGGGATATGAGCTGGTGGTCTGAGGTTCGAAAAGATAACAATCGTCTTCTCTTTTTGTGGTTAGATGTGTTGCAAAAGCAATTGCTGAGGCGTCTTATGAATTAGAATCCAAGTCCTCTTATATGGAGAAATTTGACAATGTTTTTCAAGGTCGTGGAAGTAGAATAAGTATGTAAATCGCGCAAGGAGACAATGTTGATATGGACAAGCAAATTGCAAAGAATCTTGCTGCCTCCATAACTAAAGAGAAAGACCTAAAAGATAAGGGGGTGGCTTGTTATGATTCTGAAATTTCATTGTAGATCTAATGACTCATAATTTTATTGCCAAATAGCAGATATTGTTGTATTTTGTTATATTAATCAGATTTGGGGAAAAAAAGATGATTTTACTTCGTCAAATTGAACGAATAGTTTCATCAAACCTATTTGAGCTGCGCTTGAAAGAATCAAACAGCTTAAGTTTAAATTCTCAATTCCATCCATGCTCCAGTCATCGATGTAATGTAGGACATGGAAGGCTTCTTCTGAATGTGTACCCTATTGCACTCTAGGAGCATAGATTTTGACATTTGACTTTGGATTGATGACTTCCATTATATGGTTTACTGTCTATTAAAACTCATGAAACTAGCAACTACTGCCTTAAACTCATGCTGTGTGTGATTTGATTCTATCATTAGGGTATGCTTATGTTGTGGTCTGTTTTTCACCATATATTGGTTTTTTAACCATGTACACGAGTAGTCTGCTCATGTTCAATTGATCACGCAACATATTCAAGAAATCAAGCAAATTGCTACCCTCAGGTATTCAGTTGTTTTGGTTTAATTTCTTTCTTTTTTTTTTGGGGGGGGGGGGGGGGGGTGGTTGGGGGGGTTTCTGCTGGTTGGCCCACTTTTGCTAGAGAAATTCATCTGCATGTGGAAACTGATTGATAAGGATGATGTTGTGTTCAGAGTCTACATGTTCACTAGTGCTGGTTAGGACTTGATTTACATTGATCGAGATGAACTCTAGAAGTGTCACTTTGGCTAGTCCAAAAGGAATTCAGTATTCCAAATAATAACTCCTTTATATAGTCTTGATGGATCAAGGAAGTGTACTTCTATGCCGATTGGGTTTATGAGGTTGATAAGAATCCAGATGCACACTCATTAATGCCACATTCCAAATCTGAATGAACGGAAAAGGATGTGCTTCAAGATGTCCATATTGGTTTATGCATTCTTGTATGTTGTTCTTCATTTTGAATTTGAAATCAAGTCTCATAGGCTTATTAAGATTAGGGGTTTTATTTTTCCTACAGGTAATACCAAAGAGGTTCATGAGAAAATATGTGAGAATCTCTCAAAAGGGGTCACAAGAAAATATGGTGAGAATCTCTCGAAAGGATGCTTCTGAGAGTTTAGTGCAATTATTTGGCTTGTGAATTTGGAAAAATGTGATGAGATGGTTTGGCTATCAAATGGTTGGAACCGAGCCTCAGCGATTGTGGAATTGTCTTGCTAAAAGTGGAAGATGCCGGCGATTGCCGTGATGTTTCGGTTAAGCTTTAAGTCTTTAGGGATAAATTGCATTCAGCCAAGTGTCCTCGGCTTTATATGGCAATGGAATTTGATCAGGTTTACGAAGTTCATGGCGGTTCCTATGCACATTCATCAGCACAGAGTTTGGGGAGGGACAGAAGTTCGAATTGCTCATCATTAGATTTTCCAGGTGTGAATCTTAATACATTAACTACTCCCCTTGACTATGTTGTTCTTGTGTTTGATTTGAATTCCTTATAGGAACTCTCCACTTTGTTAGGCTAAGAGAAACTGTGTTAGAAGCTAATTCATTCTCATAGTGTTTCTCTGTCTTTTGTCCTCCTGTGTGTGCATATGTATGTGTTGTGGGATCTCATAAATGTCAAGCCAATGGAAACAAGTCGAACCGGTCATATCGGATTTGATTCTGCTGAGAATCATATTGGTGTGCATATAGGCCTCAGGAATCTAGACCATTAGTAATACTCAGATCTTTTGATTTAGGGTTGTTATGTCAGTAGATATGAATTTCACATACAATAATAGAATATGCCTAGAAAGCAAAAGCTTTCTTCATGTTCTTTTGCGATTGCTGCAAGTAAGCTGAAAGAACCAAGCTTGTGCAGCGCTCTTGAACGGGCCAGTAAATATAAACCCGAGTATCCTTTCTCCGAAATTGTGGTGAGGTGAATACATCTGAAGAAAAACAATGCGGTGAGATCCTCATGACAATGACAACTCTTGGATTTAAATCACGTAGAGTAACTAGACTATGTTAGCTCTAGGTTAATCGTGCATCGCGTCAATAGTTTCTGTTATCCTTCACATGCTTTGAAAAGGATCCTCGTACTGTCTTCCTCAGAAATCATTGGTTGTTATCTTCTTTCTGATGGCAAAATCTTGAAATGTCTACTTGAGCAGAGAGTTCCCGGTTCTTTCCCAAAGACGCACATTAAGAAAAGCCCGCAGACCATGGCTCTCACATTTCAAGACAAATTATGGCCATTGAAAGCTCATCAGCCACGAACATTATGGAAAGTTATCTGCCTGTTGGGCCGCATTCATGAGAGAAACTTCTCTGAAGGTGGAAGACGTGTGTGTTCGAGCTTTATTAAAAGGGACGATATTGTGTTCAGAGTATCCATCTTCAGAACCATTGATAAAACTTGGGTGAACAATATAATATGCAATACAATACAGCAAAGGAAGCATTGCTTTAGCTCACTTTTGGTGAGAACAGAACTTACAGAATTGCTAGGGTGAATTCTGCTTCTGATTTGGCAAAATGGATAAAAGCATGAGTTTTGTTCTAATGAATGCAATGGTCCTCCTGAATGTGTAAGATACCTTTCCTTGATCCTAGACTTAATAATCACTATGTGAGCAGGAGTCATAAGTCAGAGGAAGCTGATTTGCCAATGTCGATTCTATAACTTCCGTCTCTGGAAATTCTTTAGGGTTTCCGGTTGCTCAACCTGACCTCTAGAAGACCTTTAGAACTGTAAAGTGTAGTAATGTCGAATACACTTCCCTTAAGCCATATACTAGCTCTGAATTTCGAGGCACAACCCATGGCTTTATGAGCTCTAGGGAACTTACCTCAGATTCTTTTCATTGTCTTTTTTCGAATTCTCAAAAATTTTACGAGTAGTCCTTTCGCATGTGGGCTGCGCAAATTGAAGTTTTATTATTTTCTTCTCATGCAAAGAGCGTTCAGAATTCTGTGTCAAATTGACTGAATCATGATATGAATGGCAAAGCAATTTCCAATCTGTGCTACATCTTGTCATGGTTAGTCAATTAAAGAAAGTTCTACACCAATGTCTACTAAATTCTCTCATTGTTCAACTGATATGATTATGGCAGGATATATGGATAAAGAAGGTCCCCCGGCGTGGAAGGAGTGGCTTTGCTATTTCTATTTATAGTAATGGGAAGTGGGTTAATTGAATTGATCCCTATCCCTACTGGTCTTGGAACTAAACAGGAACCTGGCCTGAAGGACCACATCCGTCTCAAGCTCGAGCTCACTTGACATATCGGATCTAATATGCTATGTCCGTTAGAAAATTCGAAAGGCGTTAACTGAAATGAAAGATAACGTCGATAATTTGGACATGCAAGCATTCATGTGGAGTCTGCATTTCATCGACATGATAACTATATTAACAATATACTCGTCACATAATCGTATTATCTTTTGTACGTGGAAAAGAGATTTATCGCGAAAATATGCATAAGAATTAGAGATGCAGAATCAAAGATTTGCTAGGTTTAGAGATTTCTTAGAGTGACCATAAAAGGCAAATTGTTTGGCCTTCAACTGACATTGCCGGGTTTGACTCCCCGATCGTACGGACGTACCCTTACCATCAGTTGGACTTTGGTCAACCATGGTACGCCTCATATGACTCTCGGTCCTAAACATACTCCATCGAAACAACACCAGAAGCTCCTCACACGTGCTCAGACCGTCCGTAGCATACCTTTTTCGGACCCTCGCTTTGATGCCTGTGGTCCGAGGAAAGTGCCGATGCTATATGAAGGGTGGTCATGATTTGGCCCTTTCTCCAGACCTTGGGCCGTGACCAGGATTCCAGCGTAGATCTCTTCGTGCTTTCTCTGGTTTGGTTGTTTAGCTGTTAGTTCTAACCTTACTAAACTTCATGGCATTCTTGCCTTGCTTATTATATAGATTCGGAACACGTCAAATTTCAATTCGAAAGCTACAAATATTTGGTACGTTTGCTGACAACGGGATTTTTGCTGCAATTTTTGTTGCGATGTACCCTTTAATTTGGAACCACTATCTGATGATACTTTCGGTTTTTTCATAAATTAACTCGAAGAGCACACATAAAAAAAAATCCTTGATAATTTCAGGTTTTGAGCTTAATTGGGAAGATTATTAGGTTTGCGCCGTGTTACTCCCTCGTCCTTTATAATATCCAACATATACTTCCTACTATTAAAGGAAAGTTCTGCTTTTATATCTTGCGACTTAAATTCTTAAAAAAATGTTTTTTCAATCTCCTTAGGTCTATAATTGAAAATTTTACCCAATTTCATTCTTGATTATCAACATATCACCAACATAAATTAAAAAAAAAAAATCACGAGAAATGAATTTTCCTCTCCATAAAGTAAAATAGGGAATTATCAAAAAAATCAAGAATAATTGTTAACATCCGAGAAATTAAAAACGGAAGAAGAAGAAGAAGAAGATCGGTTAGGTGTTCCGTTTCTCAGCGTTTCTTCTTGCATCGGTCACTTTTGCTTCTTCTCGATCTCTCTCTCTCTCCACCCTCGAGCCGAGCTGCACCGCCCATCTCCGCCTCCGACCGCCGCCGTGTCCCCGCCGCCGGTCACCTCGGCATCTGGCGTCGGCGCCGCCCCGTTTCTCTCTCCCCGCCTCCGAAGCCCCCCGAACCCTAAGACTCCTTGCTTCGGTTCGGTTTAACCGGGATTGTGGAAGATGGAGGAGGACCAGGAGATGGAAAGGTTCGGGATGGACAACGATTACGACGACGGGCAGTGGATCGACGGGGAGTTCTACTACCGGCGGCGGTGGGAGAAGCGGGCGCAGACCAAGGACGACGTGCTCTACGGCGTCTTCGCGTCGGGGGACTCCGATTCGGACTACGACGAGTCCTCCAAGAGGAAGCGGAGGAAGAACAAGGACCTCCTAGGTAAGGCCGATCTGTCGAAACCCGTGAATTTCGTGTCCACCGGCACGGTCATGCCGAACAGAGAGATCGATGAGAATTCGAAGAGAGAGAATGTGAGGATGACGAGTCTGCTGCCATGGACGAGGATAGGCCGGGAGAAGGAGGGGGAGAAGGAGAGTTTCTTGCCAACCGCATTTGGTCGGAAGATCAAGGAGGGAGCAATCCAAATTGGAGAAGAAAGCGCAGCAAGGAGGGGGGGGGGGGGGGGAGGGGAGAGTGTTCTAAGAGGGATTCTTTATGATTTGGGGAATGTGGGCGGCTTCGAGAAGTACACACCAAGGGAATTGGAATGAAGTTGCTCTGAGAAAATGGGTTACAAAGGGGGCGGTCTTGGGAAGAACGGCAGGAGATTGTGTGACCCTGCACCAATGGTTGCACGATCGATCAACATTAATCCAAACACGTAAGGTAATCGATGCATCAGAGCAAGATAAAGAGAAATATCAAATCGAGATAGAGTATGAAAGTAGAGGCTATGAAAGTTAAAGTGCGGGATAGTAAAACCCCACACACTTTCGGGCAAGGAATATATACATCACCTTGTTATTAAACCCTGAGGTAGGAACCCGGTGAGCTAAGTTTGAATCTTCTTATTGTTAATGTAACACTAGACAAACATGGGGAAGGTAATTTTGGGTGGATTAAGTTAACCTGTGCATTGAAAAGCTTGAATTCAGTCTGTGGTTGCAAATGGGATATGGTTGCCTTGCCTCCTTGGTGTTGGAGGGAATGAACTTAACTGAGTCACATGAATTTGTTTAGGAAGTCAAAGTTGGAGTTTTGGGATGAAAATATTCAAAAGGGAGGAGATTTCTTGCTTATCCGGAATGGTGTTTGCAGGAATCATGAGATAACTGACATCTTCTCTGCAAAAAATGAACATGTCATGAGATAGATGTATTGATTTGGCATACAAGTTATTATCGACAAGAATTTCTCTCAAAAAGTTTCTTGGCTTATGGACATAAACCTTCATTGGTAAAACAAACTTGTCTATCAACGGAAGGACTAGAAACCTTATACTTGTACAAGAGGTTTGTTCTACATCTGTCTGTGACAGCTTTCACAGGATATTCTTGTTCAATAGTCCATCCCTAAAAAATGAGCAGATATTACTCTCGCCTCTCTCTGCAAAAACTCATCTCCAGGAGAATAGTGATGCCTTACAATGTCATGCAACATTCTCTAGATCATATAAGCAAAAGTTGCATCTACCCATAAACAGTCGCCACCAGCACAGCAGAATTCCATTCTAATGTGCACGCAACTAGAGAGCTGATGACTCCGCCTTTAAATTGTGGCTTGATGGTTGGCTTTCTTTGTTTTCCGTTGCTTTAGTCTCACCTTCACGTTAACCCCATTATCAATAACAACCTGAAGCACAATCATAAGCTTTCCCTCCAATTTCTCCCCTATCCTCGGCGTGTAAATTATGTCATGAATGTCATCAGCCAACGCTCGCTGAGCCAGAATTTCGCCAACTGCAGCGCAAGCAGCTGTATTTCTAGTCGAAGCCAGATCGAACTTCATGTCTTTCGAAATAGAATGTGCCACAGTGACGACTTTGCCCGTCGCCCTGTGAACTATACATGCACGAACAGAGGCCCTTGATATGTAAATATCCAGGCAAAACGGTTCATGGTAAGGACCTGTGAGTTGATTAAATGTCGGAGTCCTCAGCCTCTTTTTGCTTGAAGTGCAATCGACTTCGGCTTCATCCAGCAGAAAAGGCACATTCTTTTTCTTTGCAGCTTTGGGAAGTTTTTCATCTCTGGTGACTAAACCTCGGTCTTCCTTCTTCTCGCTTTCCTTTGGATCTTCTCGCCGCTTTGGGGATTTCTTCCTATGGAAGTCAAAACTGTACTCTTCGAACTCCTTGGACGCCTTGTCAATTTTGTAAAAGAGATTGCCTCTTATCCGCGTGTTATCAATCTCGTCGAAGTCGGCCTCTTCCTCAACAGATGAAGAATGATCCTCATACTCATCTGTTGTTTCGGTCAAATTTTCTGTTCCCGCCGACCTCCTCGAACCCTGCCGTGCCTGCGCCAACCCAGCCGAGACCCGCCACTGGTCGTCATCGACAACCTCAATGGCACAACCATCTAATGAAGGCCTGCTATCAGCAAACAATGGAGAAAGCTGCACTCTGTTCGAACCGCGAGCAGCTGTTTTAGGCCCATTATCGACCAACTCAGACCGACCCTTTTCGATTCCCTTATCAGCAACTTCGGACGCACTCGACCAAACACTGACCAACCTCGGCAGAAAACGAGAGTTGACCCCTGATGTTACTGCGACGGCTCTTCTCAAGAAAGTAAATGCCATTGTGTGTGCCTCGGAGATGTCGAGGGATCGCAGAGTTAGACCCGCCTCGACAAATCATCGAAATTGTAAAAATGAAATGATCACAAGGAGCTCTACGTAAAAACCCATTAGTTGTGGCGCACGACCTGAAAGATCTTCAATGGAGCAATTCATCGAACACCTCATATGCAGGCTACTCTTCCTCGTTCGCTTCTCGCCAAGTAGAGCGACAGAAATAGTGGGCTTAGCTCGACGTGCTGGGTCTGCTGACTGCTGGGGCTTTTGCAAGTGCAAAAGGTGTTGATCCCTTCTGATCTCCTGATTCGGGGATCGATGGAATGACTTGATTTCCGCAGGGGTTAAGGGACAATATGGGGACCCCGTGGTGCCATTAAAATTTGGTACTGGGGGAGCGTATGAAAATCATTCCATTTCGCTGATTTTCTATTTTTTTTGTTTTCGAAAATAAATTTGAAACATAAATTTGTTTGGTAAAATAATTTCATTTTTCTATTTTCGAAATAAAATTTTAGCCTAGAAATAAATTTAGAACATAAATAAAAAGTTAAAGTTTTCTACTTTTTTATTTATGAAACAAAATCATAAATAACAACTCTCTTTTATTGTTCACCCTCGCCATCTGTTGCGGCCCATCGGCCGTCCGCCGCTGGCCGCCGGCTGACCACCGCCGGCCATCCACCACCGCCAGTTGCTCGCCACCGCCCGCCGCTCGCCGCTGTCGTTCGCCACCTACTCGCCCGCTACCACCAGACGGCCGCCAGGAGCAAAAATTTAAAAATATCCTATCAAATGAATTTTTATTCTAGGAACATAGTTCTATGGCGTTATCAAATGCTACTTTTTATTCAGAAACTCGTTCACAAAATAAAAATAGATATTTCTAACTAAAAATAAGGCTGGGAAGAGAAATTTTATCATTCGCGCCCTTAAATTCCTAAAGAAATGTTTTTTTTAATCTCCCTAGGTCTATAGTTGGAAAATTTATCCAATTTCATTCCCGATTATCGACATCTCATCAACCCAAATTTTTAAAAAAATCATGATAAATTAATTTCCTCTCCTTAAAATAAAATAGGGAATTATCAAAAAAATCAAGAATTGTTGTTGACATCCGAGAAATTAAAAACGGCAGAAGAAGGAGAAGAAGATCCGTTAGGTTTTCCATTTCTCAGCATTTCTTCTTGCATCGGTCACTTTTGCTTCTTCTCGATCTCTCTCTCTCTCCACCCTCGAGCCGAGCCGCACCACCCATCTCCGCCTCCGATCTCCGTCGTGTCCCCGCCGCCGGCCGCCTCGGCATCTGGAGTCGGCGCCGCCCCCCTCTCTCTCCCCGCCTCCGGAGCCCCCCAAACCCTAGGGCTCCTTGCTTCGGTTCGGTTTAACCGGGATTGTGGAAGATGGAGGAGGACCAGGAGATGGAGAGGTTCGGGATGGACAACGATTACGACGACGGCCAGTGGATCGGCGGGGAGTTCTACTACCGGCGGCGGAGGGAGAAGCGGGCGCAGACTAAGGACGACGTGCTCTACGGCGTCTTCGCGTCGGCGGACTCCGATTCGGATTACGACGAGTCCTCCAAGAGGAAGCGGAGGAAGAACAAGGACCTCCTAGGTAAGGCCGATCTGTCGAAACCCATGAATTTCGTGTCCACCGGCACGGTCATGCCGAACAGAGAGATCGATGAGAATTCGAAGAGGGAGAATGAGGCTGACGAGTCTGCTGCCGTGGATGAGGATAGGCCGGGCTTGGGGGCTGGCGCTGGTGTGGGTTTGGGGTTTAAGAAGCGGAGAGGATGGTTTCGATGAGAAGGACGAGGAGGGGGAGAACGAGAGTTTCTTGCCGACGGCATTTGGGCGGAAGATCAAGGAGGGAGCGGAGAGGAGGAGAGAGCAATCCAAATTGGAGAAGAAAGCGCAGCAAAGGAGGGGGGGGGTGCTAAGAGGGATTCTTTATGATGCGGGGAATGTGGGTGGCTTCGAGAAGTACACACCAAGGGAATTGGAATGAAGTTGCTCGAGAAAATGGGTTACAAAGGGGGCGGTCTTGGGAAGAACCGACAGGGGATTGTGACGCCCATTGAAGCGAAGTTGCGTCCTGAGAATATGGGTATGGTTTTCAACGACTACAAAGAAACTCCTGCAAAGGCACCTGTTGCCTCGCTGGAGCCCGAGGAAAAGAAGACATTACCTGATGTGCCCGGCAGTAAGGAGAGGCTTTGGTCTAAGCAAGCGAAGAAGGCAACGCTGAAGAACAAAGCGAAATATGTTACAGCAGAAGAGCTGTTGGCGAAGAAGCAGGAACAGGGGGGTGTTGAAGTTGTGCAAAAGGTACTTGACATGCGCGGACCTCAGGTTAGGGTATTAGCAAACTTGGAGAATCTGAATGCGGAAGAGAAGGCGAGGGAGAGCGGCATTCCGATGCCCGAGCTCCGGCACGATGTAAGGTCGATTGTGGGCCCGGCCAAGTTGGATATTCAGAAGGTCGATAGGGATCCGAGGAATGAGAAGGAGACTGCTCTGAGCTTGCAAAACGAAAAAGAGAAGTTACAAGCCGAGGCAGAACTCCAGAAGAAACAGCTGAATTATACTCTGTTTATCAGAGTATTTCAGGGATGGGATCGTCTGCGGAATCCCTCACCTGTGTTTGGAAGTTGTTTCGCGGTGGAAATCTCTATTGCACGGGCAGCTTATCGCGGCCGGTTGGACCAAGTGAATACGAACCAGATACCTATTGGGGACTTAGTTACGCTAACATTTAATTAGCGCCTTTATGGTCCTTATTCTTATTTTATTTTGAAGATGTGAATCGTTCGGTATTGTCGATTTTTATTTCAAAAGCATGCTTAAACTAAGTGACCCTGCACAAATGGTTACACGATCAACATTAATTCAAACACATAAGGTAATCGACGCATCAGAGCAAGATAAGAGAAACATCCAATCGAGATGAGATAAGAGTACGAAAGTAGAGACTATGAAAGTTAAAAGTGCAAGATAGTAAAACCCCATACATTTTCGGGCAAAGAATATAGACATCACCTTGTTATTAAACCCTGAGGTACGAACCCCGTGAGCTAAGTTTGAATCTAAACATGAAAATTTTCTACCTTAAACAATGATAATGAGACACTAATTAAAATAGGATGCGGTGAAACGGAATACTCAATTTTAAATCTGAATGCAACTTCCATTTTTGGTCATTTTCTCGTTTATCATTTTTTCGTCATTTTTTGTTGACAATGAAGAGTAGTATCCTTGTTAGGATATACAATAACAGTTAATATGCAATTAACTAGCAATGGGGATCAAAAAGAATACACAAAATACACGTCTTATTTATAAGTTCATAACAAATATATGAGTAGAATAATATCAAAATTGTCGAGCCATTTATCCACGTCAGAGTCGAGACAACTAAACCAAACCCGATCATCGGATCCCCTTGAAGGAATGGGACTATTTGAACGCATGATTCTTTTCGGAAGAGATCCATACCTAGGCCGACAAAGATAGTCACCCATCAGTCACAAATAATACCACTAATGGCTTATCGACTACTCGTGACTCGGATATCTCTACATTATGTAGTGTCGAAAAATCCACAAGGATACTTCCTCAGGTCTCCATGATTTGTAATTCCAGAGTCTTTATGCTAATCTGTTGTCACAAGATACATGTATACAAGAGAAACAAATGCATCAAATGGCCTATAATCAATAACGACGTTGCCCAGGAGTGAGCTTTAGGAGCTCACTAATTTCCTACACCGCATTATAACAGAACGAAACAATGCATAATATCAATACAAATAACCACGAAGCGAAGCAGATCCAAATAAAAATTTATTCGACTGAATCATTGACCAATTACCCTCGTTACCAAATGGAACAACAATTTAGAGAACAACGGTTAAGCTACGCAACAATAGGTCGCCGATCAAAGTTTATGAGGGCAAAGAGTGTCATTGAATAGCAAAAGCAATTACAACTTTGAAACAAGACGATCATGTCCAGATTTTTCGAATGATTGCTTACCCTTTCAGACAAAAGAAGGCAGGGAAAGGACGAAGGAGACATGAAGCTTTCTGAGGCTAATACCAAACATTACAAGCTGAGTTAATCAGAGTAATAACAATGGTCCCATCCTGCGCCTACGACATTATATTGAGCATATGTGTCATGTATACCTCATTTTTCTGTGCTTATGTTGACACCGCAGTGATAGTACCTGAAAAGGAGACTTGAGTAAACACCAATTAAATTTGCGACCACGCAAACTATCCACTCCTTGACGACAACGCATTCAAATAATGCAACCAACACACTGCATTAAGAAATTAGTGACTGCAAATCTGAAAAAGCAGAGGATGAGGGAGCACTTTGGTTGGAGGAACATACCCGAGATGTTACACAGTTCATGAGCAACTCTCATTTCGTACAGCGATGGACGATTCTCGTGTCCAATAGATCCTGAGGGCGATGAGCAATTTAACGAGGCCGAATCAGTAAAGCTTCCTCCCGGTGGGATGGGGATGCCGGCATAGCGAAATTGAATGTCATGAACTCCACGACAGGCCTGAGACCACAGAAAGCAGCGCCGACTACAACTCCAGCGAAACCAGCCTCTGTGATTGGAGTATCAACAACCCTCTCAGGTCCATACTTCTCCAGAAAAAAAAAAAGAACCTTTAAGACACCTTGTAGGCTCCTTGGTATTCTCCGGCCACCTCCTCACCCATTAGAAAGACTTGACTTCTGGATCTGCAGGCATATCCTCATCCAGCGCTGTATTCAGATCCTCTCTCACAGTCAGTCTCGTTCGCTGCGGTAGCATAACTCTGTAACCATGTCCCTGCGACAACAACTCTTCCACAACCTCTCTCTTGACGACACAGCATCTGAGCTGCCTCCGGCAGTGGCTTTTCGTCTTAGAATCTTGCGCTCTCGAAGTTGAACTGGCTCCCACCACCAGGTTAAGCTCGCTGATTTACTGTGCCTCTTGAACAGGTATTCTTTGAAACCAGCTTCGTCATTCCATGGAACACCTTCCTTGCGAGCTCGATACCTCCTCCACAGTGCAACTGACAGCAATTCCGAAATTTCTGGAAGACGGCAAGAGGATGGGAGAAAACAAAAGCGAAACATAAATCAAAAGACAAAGTTGGAATGTATCGAAATGAATTCTAGAGTTCAATCGGAGATGGAAATGACCTGGTAAGCGTGACTGTTGATCGACGAATTACGTCATCGCCTGAATGTCGTGAGGAACTATAAAGATTTCTCTAGGCGTATCTTCCTCTGTTTGTTGTTTCAAAATCGTCTCACCCTCTGTTTCTCTATTGCGCAATTCACTGAACACCTTCTGCTCAGAGGACTAAGCACATTCAATGACCAGGAAACTCCAGTGGTCAAGTTCGACCGTCGTGGTGGCGGCTAAACAATGAAGGACGATCCTTTCAAAGATAGGCGACGTGGTGGGAAGGGGAAGGTGATCTTCATCTCTCTGTCCATCTTCATTTTATTTTCTTCTCTCAAGCTCACCGTCTCCACCATCACTATCCTCAAGCTCTCTCTAAGCTGCAATCGAAGGCATCTCGGACTCTCCCTCTCCAGATTGAGGTTTCAAGTTAATTTTCGACTCGTTCCAAAACATGCTCGTCGATTTCTGCCTTGCTCCGTTCGCTTCCACTCCATCGCCGCCTTTTAGATTCCATTGCCGCCATCAGCTTGCATCCTCCGTTTCGCACCGTCTACGCCGGGCGCAAAGTGGGGGGATGTGGGATGGGGTCGACAAGAGCTTCATCCGATTGCAAAGGCTGAGGTGGGATGGATCTGTTGGAGGATGAAGCCAAATATTGTTATTAAGGGCTTTTTTGTCTTTTCTATTAATTTTGCTTTTAGGTTAAAAGCTGCGCTTATATCAGCTATTGATAGAGGTTAGCCGTCAAGCGCTGAGAAGAAAATAGAGAGAAAAGAAAAGAGAGAAGAAAAAAGTGAGTTTTTTTTTCTTTGTGAGTGTTCTCAATCTCTTTGTGCTCCGATCTTGAGAGAAGATCATAATTGTATCCCTACTTTCTTCGAAGTCTAATGGATTCGCAGAGTGCCTCTGCGCGGAGATGTAGCCCAGGTTTGGGTGAACTTCGATAACAAATTCTCTGGTGTGTTCTTTTGATTATGTTCTTTTATTATTATATTATGCTAGTAAGGATCGTTTGTTTGGGTTATTTTTCTGGAATCGGTGCTCGATTCCCAACAACTGGTATCAAAGCTTGGTTGATTAATCGAGAACATCGAGGGGTTTTTTGGTGACTTTTGATTGAAAGCAAACGATATGGCAGAAGATAAAATCAGGATCGATAAGTTTGACGGGCAGGATTTCGGATGGTGGAAACTCCAAATCGAGGATTATCTTTATCAGAAAGATCTCTATGCACCACTTGAGGGTTGGAAACCTGAAATAGCGGAAGTGGATCCGACAGCAGAATCAGGATGGAAAATTCTTGATCGAAAGGCATTAGGTGCGATTCGTCTAGGGTTGACGAAAAAGACAGGGTACCACATCGCGAAAGCAAAAACTGCAAAAGAAGCCATGGATATTCTTACGAATATATATGAGAAGCCATCCACATCAAATCAGGTATTTTTGCTGAAGAAGTTGGTTAATATGAAGTTATCTGATAGAGGTTCCGTAGCAGAGCATATTAATAGTTTCACGCAAGTCACAGGTCAGTTGGAATCCGCAGGCATAAATCTGGATATGAAGCTTCAAGCTTTATTATTTTTATGTTCTCTTCCAGAAAGCTACAACACCGCAGTGCAGGGAATTTCAAGCACCATGAAGGATGATTTGACTCTGGATGATGCTGTGAGTAGTATCATGGATGAAGAGATGCGAAGAAAAGTCTCAGGTGGAAATAATTTTTCGCCATCTACATCTTCCACGGCACTAGCAGTGGAGAACCGTGGGAGAAGTAAAAGCAGAGAAAAATTCAGCGGGCGCGATAGATCACAGTCAAGGGGAAAGAGAGAGGTCGCAAAAGATGAGTGTTGGTTTTGTCACCAGATTGGACATCGGAGGTTTCAATGTGAGGCCTACAAAAAGAAGCAGCGGGATGAGAATCAAGGAGCTAATGTGGTTAGCGATGAACCTTCGCTAGAGAACTTGTGTTTATCTGCAGGGTATGACTTGACAACAGACAAGTGGTTTATTGACTCCGGTGCTTCTTTCCATTGCACCTCGCAAAGAGACATATTCGCTGATTATGCCAGTGGAGATTTTGGGCAAGTGGTTGTGGGAAACGGCCATATGTGTCCAATTGTTGGAAAAGGAACTGTGATTGTGAACATCTCAGGTGGAGGACGTCTAGTTTTGCATGAAACTAGACATATCCCATAATTAAAGAAAAATCTGATCTCAACTAGTAAACTTGATCAAGAAGGTTTGGTAACAACCTTTGGATGCGGAGAGTGGAAGATAACCTCAGGGGCAAGAGTAGTAGCAAAGGGAAAACGTCCAGGTATGCTTTACCTTCTCCAGGGAGATAATATTAGTGATATGGTTGCAACTACAGTGGCTACAGGTAATTTGTCTACTCTTTGGCATTATCATTTGGGACATCTTGGTGAAAAGGGTGTAAAGCAGTTACACTCAAGGAAGTTACTTCCAGGTTTGCAGAAAGTTGAATTAGATTTTTGTGAGAGTTGCATTTATGGAAAACAAAAGGCAATCAGTTTTCAGTTGAATGAGCGACAGAATAAAGGTAAAAAATTAGAGTTGGTTCATACGGATGTGTAGGGACCGGCTCAGGAACTCTCTTATGGTGGTAAGAGATATTTTGTCACATTCATTGATGATGCAACAAGAAAGACTTGGGTCTATGCTCTCAGAGAAAAATCAGAAGTATTCGGGATGTTCAAAATGTGGAAGGCCATGGTAGAAAAAGAGACAGGTTATCAGATTAAAGCTCTAAAGTTTGATAATGGTGGTGAATACACGAGCAAGGAATTTGCTGAATACTTGAGCCGGAAAGGCATACATGGGTTGAAAACTGTTCCTAGAACTCCTCAAGAGAACGGTGTAGCTGAGAGGATGAATAGAACCATTCTGGAACGTGCGAGATGCATGAGGCTACATGCGGGTCTTCCGCTACACTTATGGGCTGCTACAGTTGATGCAGCTGTTTATCTAATTAATAGGAGTCCATCTAGTGCGCTTGATGGAGAAATACCGCAAGAGCAGTGGTCAGGTAAAAAGATTGATTATTCATATTTAAAAGTTTTTGGTTGTATTTCATATGCTCTGATTGATAGAGAGGATAGGAAGAAGCTTGATGCTAAATCCCAGAAGTGCGTCTTTATCGGATATGGTAGTGATGAGTATGGCTATAGGCTTTGGGATTATGAAAATAACAAAGTCATCCGCAGTCGGAATGTGGTATTCCATGAAGAAAAGATGTACAAGGATCATCAGATGGAGCATGAGAAGGCAATAGAACCAGAATATGTTGAGCTGGACACAATACCTGTGAAAATAGTTCCAGCAAATCAAAATGTACCTGAAGGGGATGAACCTATTATCAATGAACAGGGAGTTCAAGAGGAACGCGGTGATCCTGAACATACTGACGACCCTGAAGTACCTATCTTAAGGAGGTCTACACGAGTTAGAAAGCCAAAGGTAATTTTTGATCCATCAACTAATATTGTTCTGAACCATGTCTTATATACAGATTCGGGAGAATCAGAGACTTATGATGAGGCAAAGAAAGACACATCTCACATTCAGTGGGAGCGTGCTATGAAAGACGAGATGAGCTCGTTACTTCAAAACAAAACTTGGGAGTTAACAGAGTTGCCTGCAGGTAAAAAGGCTTTGTTAAATAAGTGGATGTACATGATAAAAAATGAAGCAGATGGTAGTATCAGATACAAAGCGAGACTTGTGGTCAAGGGCTTTTCTCAGAAAGAAGGAATCGACTACTCTGGAATATTTTCACCAGTAGTAAAGATGACATCAATCAGAGTTTTGCTGAGTATAGTTGCAGTGGAGGATCTTCATCTCGAGCAATTGGATGTGAAAATGGCGTTTTTGCATGGGGACCTAGATGAAGAGTTATACATGGCGCAACCTAAAGGTTTTGAGGTCAAAGGTAAAGAGCACATGGTATGTCGCTTGAAGAAAAGCTTGTATGGCCTGAAGCAAGCTCGGCGGCAATGGTACTTAAAGTTTGATGGTTTCATGGAAGAAAAAGGTTTTGCACACTGTGAAGCTGATCATTGTGTTTATTTTCGCAAGTATAGCGATGGTGATATCGTATATCTCTCTTTATATGTGGATGATATGCTGGTGGCTAGTTCCAATATGAAGAGAATCACAGAAGTGAAGAAGATGTTGGCATCGCAGTTTGCTATGAAAGACTTGGGAGAGGCCAAGAATATCTTAGGCATGAAAATCATCAGAGACAGGAAAAATAAGAAATTATGGTTGTCGCAAGAAGACTATGTGAAGAAGGTGTTAAAGAGATTTAACATGGATAAGGCAAAACCGGTTGTCACTCCTCTAGCGAGTCACTTCAAACTTTCTAAGGATATGTGTCTGAGTACTCAAGCTTTGAAAGATGAGATGGCGGCAATCCCATATGCATCAGCAGTGGGAAGTTTAATGTATGCCATGGTGAGCACGAGACCAAACATTGCACAGGTAGTGGGAGTTGTGAGTCGATATTTACAGAACCCGGGCAAAGAGCATTGGAATGCAGTAAAATGGATATTGAGATATCTAGCAGGTACATCAAATTACTCTCTTTGTTATGGAGAGACATCTCTGGAGTTGCAGGGTTATGTGGATGCAGATCATTCGGGTGATCGAGATAGTGGTAAAAGTACCACTGGATATGTCTTTACAGTTGCAGGTACAGCAGTGAGTTGGGTATCTCAACTTCAGAAAGTAGTGGCTCTATCGACGACAGATGCAGAGTACGTGGCGATCACGGAAGCCTCCAAGGAAATCAGAACCTAACTCAAAAAATATAATTGTTATAAGATAAGAAATAGACATCCTTAGCCACGCTCATGTATATGTAACATCTCTACTTTTTATTTGAGTCAAGCTCCAACATGAAATTAATATTTGGTCGAGTTAAAATTGAGTTTTGAACATCGAGTATGGAGTTGAATAGATCTCAAGTTAGGCATTATAACGGCTCGATTAGACCCCTAAGCCGGGCCATGTTGACACTTGAATTTCGCTATCAAATTCCATATTCATAGAAAATCATTTTAGAGATTAGACTCGTTGTCAACAGCAAAATTTCATCCCTCATAAAAAAAATTATAACAGGATTCCTCGCCGTATTCAGATTTGCTGCAGTAACTGTATCCATTATTTGCCGTTTTGGCACTCAAGTCATTCGGGTCGTTACATTGGGTGGTCATGAAACCATCCCATGCCATGCATCGTTATTGTAGATTTCGTTGGTCATGGTTGTATCTGAATCGCCGCTGACGGCATAGCAAGTAGATAAGAACCCTATGACAAAGACTCTGATACTCTTGTGATTCTTCGCTCATCTCACGTCTGAGGACGTTGGCTTGAAGATTCAGGTTTTCGTTTTGATTCTATTGGAAAATAATATTTTATTTTAATTTCACTCGAGGACTCCAAGAGACAAAAATCTCCACTTGAGGAAACCTCCGGAACATGAGTTTTTGCAATTCCTCAAACAACTTCGGCTTGTCTCGATATTTTTTGTGCTGAGCTAGTTTCGCATTCAGTATGGAATCTATCTACAA